CTGCATCCACTGCCCTTCCAAGGACGGGTATGGCTTATACAATTAATGGTAAGGCCTGGGGTAGTGTTGTAGAACAGAGGGACCTAGGGATTCAAGTACATAATTCTTTGAAGTTTGCATCACAGGTAGACAGGGTGGGTAAGAAGATATTCGGCACACTTGCCTTCGTTGCTCAGACCTTTGAGTATAGAGACTTGGGACGTCATGTTGAGGTTGTTCAGGATGTTGCTGAGGTCTCTTCTGGAGTACTGTGTCCAGTTCTGGTCGCCCAGTTGTAAGAAGGATATTATTAAGCTGGAGAGGGTTCAGAGGAGATTTACCAGGATGTTGCTGGGTATGGAAGGTTTGAGTTATAAGGAAAGGCTGATAGGCTGGGACTTCTTTCACTGGAGCGAAGGAGGTTGAGAAGTGACCTGATAGAAGTTTATAAAATAATGATGGGTATAGATAGAGTTAATGGTAGTTGTCTTTTCCCTAGGATGGGGGATTTCAAGACCAGGGGGCACATTTTTAAGGTGAGAGGAGGGAGATTTTAAAAAGACGTGAGGGGCAATTTTTTTTTATATACAGAGGTTTGTTCATGTGTGGAATGAACTTCCAGTGGAAGTGGCGGATGTGGGTACAGTTACAATGTTTAAAAGACATTTGGATAAGATCATGAATAGGAAAGGTTTGGAAGAATATGGGCCAGGAGCAGGCAGGTGGGACTAGTTTAGTTTGGGATTGTGGTCGGCATGGACCAGTTGGACCGAAGTGTCTGTTTCCGAGCTGTTTGATGCTATGACAGCAATAGACAGAGGGGTAGAGTGGAAACATTGTGTTGAGCCATGATCTGACAAAGGCTCAATGGACTGAATGGCCTACTCCTGTTCCTGTGTTCCTTTTAGGCAGCATGACAATAACATGCTTTGGTTTCATTTTCTCCCCCATCAGCATCTCCCCGTATTATTTCAAATCGATGTGTTATGGCCCAGCCCAGACCCCCACAAAATATTTTAAGAAGGTAGCCTAAACGTTTACTTTTTCTTTTCTTATTTTAAAGGTAGATATGAAGTGCCGTGTTCCAGATGCAATGCGACTGGTCAAACTACTTGACGTTAAGCAAAACACAATTTATTTAAACATTATAGTTAACATACAAACAAAAGGGGAATCTATTGGAAATAATTAACTGTTCCAATATGGTAACATCCCATACACACACATTTGGCAAAAAGGTAAATTCAAACACAGATTCTCACATGCAGTTCTCCAATCCAGGAGGAAGAGAAAATTCAGAGAATGTAACAGCCAGGAGACATTCACTGAAGCTCCCCACTCTTTTGAGACCCCCATACAGATGTTACTGAAAAAAATCCAAACCCCAGAAATCTGGATCTGTGGGGGCTTGACCACACCCGCTCAGGCTGCTTCTATTGTTCCAACTTTAAAAAAAAAACTGAAAGGCCTCACAAGTTGTTTACTGGAGGTGTCTTCAAGTAGCCAGTTCATCAACTCTGCCTTACAACCTGTCTTCAAAAAAATAAACACAAAACCAGGACAAAATAATCTTTAAAGTGACAGCATTGTCGCAGACGTCCTACAGTTATGTAGGAAATGGGGGTAGGCCATTCAGGCTTTCTAGCCTGTGCATTCAATCTTGTCATCCAACTCAGTCCTCTGTTCTTACTTTCGCCTTGTGTCATACTCCTGCCTTCTCCCTGTTACCTCACACAGTCCAATTTCCCTTTCAAAAGGCATGATTGAACCTGCCTCCACCGAGGTCTCAGGTAGCCGCACACCAGATCCTTACCGCTGATCATACCATTGAAAGTTAAAGATTTTTTTAAAAATTAGTAACGATCCTCCAATTAATCTGTCTTCTAGACACAAGTTGACAGAAAGCACAGTTCAGTTTCTGTATTTAACAAGTTAAAAACTATTTACAATGAGTAAATGCACTCTAACTTCAGGTATGCTGACTGCTATGACTGATTAAAACTCTAATCTCCTTATAAACTACCCCTATACGCAAACTGATAAAAAGGTGTTATAGATAAAGAGAAAATTAGGAAACACAGAAACATAGACAATAGGAGCAGGAGGCGGCCATTCGGCCCTTCAAACCTGCTCCGCCATTCATCATGATCATGGCTGATCATTCAACTCAACAGCCTAATCCTGCTTTCTCCCCGTAACCTTTGATCTCATTCGCCCCAAGTGCTATATCTAGCTATCTCTTGAATACATTCAATGTTTTGGCATCAACTACTTCCTACGGTAATGAATTCCACAGGCTCAGCACACTTTGGGCGAGAAAATATCTCAACTCCGTCCTAAATGGTCTACCCCAAATCCTCAGACTGTGACCCCTGGTTCTGGACACACCCACCATCGGGAACATCCCCCCTGCATCTAACCTGTCCAGTCCTGTTAGAATTTTATAAGTCTCTGTGAGATCTCCAGCAAAAACAACCTAGTCAATCTCTCCTCACCTGTCAGTCCCTCCATTCCCGGAATCAGCCTGGTAAACCTTCGCTGCATTCCCTCAAGAGCGAGAGTGTCCTTCCTCAGAAAAGGAGACCAAAACTGCACACAATATTCTAGGTGTGGCCTCACCAAGGCCCTGTATAACTGCAGCAACACATCCCTGCTCCTGCACTCGCAACCTCTCACAATGAAGGCCAACATACCATTTGCCCTCTTTACCGCCTGCTGTACCTGCATGCTTACCTTCAGCACAAGGACACCCAGGTCCCACTGCACACTTCCCTCGGATTCCCCTCCCCATTGCCGATTGTTGGGAAAAACCCATCTAGTTCACTTATGTCCTTTAGGGAAGCAAACTGCCATCCTTACCTGATCTGGCCTACATGTGACTCCAGATTCGCAGCAATGCATTGACCCTTAACTGCCCTCTGGGCAATTAGGGATGGGCAATAAATGCTGCCTGGCCAGTAACGCCCTCATCCTGTGAATAAATTTGAAAGGAATGCTTCTTTTGGCTTTAGATCCGAGAAGCATTGCCGTAGTGTAGGTTTGGATTGAATGCACATCCAACATTTGCTCAAAATGTTGCCCAATGAAAAGCGAAGTAGTGTGGGCACTGGAGATTGTAAATCAAAACAGAAAAGGGCTGGAGAAATGCAGCAAGTCTGGCAGAAACCGTGGGAGAGAGAAACAGAGTTTCCAGCCCAGCATGACTCTTCCTTAGAATTCTGAAATATCCCATCAGCTCTTTACATGTCCAGTCCAAAGAGTCATGTTTTTTTTTTGGAGAAAGCTTGCCTTGTTTTTTGATCCTGCGTGTGTATGTTTGCATGTGCATGCACAATCACATGCGTGTGCACATTCGTGTGTCTGCAAGCACGTTTGTGTTCGCATGTGCATGTTCGCCATTAGGCACTTTGCAATGGCGAAACGGGGTTCTGTTTGGATAGGGTAAGGTGTGGGACATGCACATCATTCAGTGTGGCAATAAGCACTTGGGACAGGGGTTAGAGTTACTAAATACAAGCAACTCCTGTTAGCGGAGATGCACAGCAGGGGTGTTGGGCACTGCCACTATTTCTGACACCATACCCCAAGAGACTTCATAGAATCCCCACAGTGTGGAAACAGGCCATTAGGCCCAACGATTCCACACAGACCTTCTGAAGACCATCCCACCCAGACCCATTCCATAAACCGATCTTTGTATTTCCCGTAGCTAATGTACCTAACCCGCGCATCCCTGGGCACTACGGGGCAATTTAGCACGGCCAAGCCGCCCTAACCCGCGCATCCCTGGGCACTACAGGGCAATTTAGCACGGCCAATCCACCCTAACCCACAGATCCCTGGGCACTACAGGGCAATTTAGCACGGCCAATCCACCCTAACCCGCACATCCCTGGGCACTACGGGACAATTTAGCACGGCCAGTCCACCCTAACCCGCACATCCCTGGGCACTACGGGGCAATTTAGCACGGCCAACCCGCCCTAACCCGCACATCCCTGGGCACTACAGGGCAATTTAGCACGGCCAATCCACCCTAACCCGCACATCCCTGGGGCACTACGGGGCAATTTAGCATGGCCAATCCACCCTAACCTGCATATCTTTGGACTGTGGGAGGAAACCAGAGCACCCAGAGGAAACACAAACAAACACGGGGAGAATGTGCAAACTCCACACAGACCATCGCTAGAATCGAATCTGAGGTCCCTGGTGCAGTGGGGCAGCAGTGCTAACCACTGAGTTACCGTGCCACCCCTGGTGCCCAGGTAAAGAAGAACGTTGGGCAAGACTGGGAGATTCCCCAGCAGCTACAGAACATCCCAGAATCGCAGTTCACGCTGGAACTGGGGATGCAGTTAGAACGATGGCAGGTTTCAGAATCCAGAACTTCTCAAGTTTAAAGTCCCTCAGCTTGAACACCACTTACCATCATACTTCTGTCACCTCCTCCCAGCCCCCTCCCTATCTCTGTCCCCTCCTCCAGCCCCCTACACCCCCTCCCTATCTCTGTCACCTCCTCCCTATCTCTGTCACCTCCTATGACCCTCCAAGATCTCTACACTCCTCCAATCCCAGCCTCTTGAACATCCTGAGATTCCCATGGCTCCATCATTGCAGGGCATGCCTTCAGCCGTCTGGGGCCCTGAGCTCAGGAATTCCCTACTTAAATCTCAGTCCATCTCTCTCCGGACTCACTAACGCACATTCTGACAGCCAAAGCAGTAGTTTTACAACACAGCAGTCAGCCAATCTGTGCATAGTAAGATCCCACTGACATGACAATGAGCCATTTCCCTGCTCTCTAGTTAGCCTGGTCCACGGACCGCTCCCTCGGCGCTGACCCTCCGACGGTGCCCGCTCCCTCAGCGCTGACCCTCCGACGGTGCCCGCTCCCTCAGCGCTGACCCTCCGACGGTGCCCGCTCCCTCGAGAACGTGGGATATCAGCCTGGAGTTTACATTAGGATATCTAGCGTCGAGTTGAGAGCTTCTGAGATTGACTGAGATCAACCACTACACTTTGGATTTACAGTTTAACGAAAGCATTTATTTGTGAACCTTAATACTATTCACTGGATTAATACCCTTTTAGGTGCTTTTGAATTGGCAGTGTTACTCTGAGCTGTCTCAGCTCAGATCCGTTCCTTATAGGATGTCTTTCCCATCGCTGCTAACTCTTCCAGGTACTGCTTGCTTTCAGTCTCCAGGAGATCTTTCAGGGCAGCCTGTCTTATCTGTGAGAGAACAGGGATAGAGGAGGTGGGAAAACTTTTTAACTCATTTCAGCATTACCTCTGGAGAGGGGGAGAGAGAGAGAGAGAGTGTGTGAGAAGAGAGTGTGTGTCCAGATATAATTTTTTTTTTCAATTTGACCAAGACAACCAGCATCTATTGTTGTTCAAAAACCTCATCAGGTCTCACAATGGGGCAAGGAAATCTGTTGTCCTTTACGGAACAAGAGGCACAAACTCCGAAAGGTGACATTTCAATATTGGTTGAGGGCTGAATATTGGCCTAGAGCACTTCACATGTATACACTCTCACAATCTCTCTCACACACACACACACACACACACACTTCCAGTCTGTCACACACCCATTCTTATTCACGCTACCTCACTCTCTCACATACTCTCAGGGTGGTAGAGCATTGAAAAAGTATTTAGATGATCCTTTGCGAGGCCAATGCTACGGGCACAATGCCGGAAGATTGGATTGGAATATTGAGGAGCATGTTTACAACTGGTGTAGACAGGATGGGCCAAAAGGGCATTTTTCTGTCCTCGATGATACACACACTCTCTCTCACACACACACACACGCTAACACACTCAATCTCCCTCACTTGCTCACTCACACACAGAAGAAATCGTTAAGTTCTTTATATTAAAATAAAGACTGAACTACCAGTAGAATCGCTTTGGATGCCAATCTCACTTCCTCAAGGATTGCCCTAATCTGCTTTTCATTTCTCTTGAGCTGCCCTGCGACTTGAGATTCTTTCAGAAACCTGTTGCTCTTGATAAGCTTCTCCCACCTGCCGAGATACAGCAGACAGCACAGCGAGTGAAACAAGTGGCACTCATAGATACCAAGATCTGCAGATGCTGCAGTCAGAGACAACACAGCATGGAGCTGGAGGAACACAGCAGGCCAGGCAGCATCAGAGGGGCAGGAAAGTGGACGTTTTGGGTCGGGATCCTCCTTCAGAACAAAGTGGCACTCGTGTCGTGTCTTGAACCTGCTTCACAGGAGAACAATGACCCACCAAAGCATACAGCGGGAAACATCTTGGAACAAGAGGCTCAAGAGCGAGGGCCATTCAGCCCCTCTGTTCCATACCAGCCTCCTGTGTCCCTCAATCCTTGGCCGCTCAGGTGTTCATCCAGCTTCCTCCGTTTTAAGCATCTATTGGTTTTGACCACTCCCCACACGGGGGCGAGTCCCCAACATCCTTCAATCCCCCTCCCCACACGGGGGCGAGGCCCCAACAT